CATCGCCCGCCGCTGCGCTCCCCTCCGCCCGGCGCACGGCCTCCTTCAGGCACTGAGCATCTTCCCCAGGTGCCCAGCCCCTGAAATACTCCAGCCTCGGAGCCTCCCGCGGCGACTCATGCGCAGACGAGGCACAGGCTCAGCCAGGGATCGTGGAGTCGGTCTGATCCACTCCCGGACCGAAGGCGAGAGCAACAGGAAGCCCAACTTTTCCGATAATGTGTAGCTCAGGAAGGATCAGAGCTGGCGACGAGTTGCTAATAGTTTAATCCCCTTGCTGTGCCCAGGCGCATCCTGAGCGCAACGAATGAATCCAGCAATCTTGGATCCTCCAGCAAAGCTGGCGTCTATATCCCTTGGAAGGCTTTCTTCCCCATTTGAGGGCTTTCTTGCCCCGTCCTTTTTCCCCCCTTGATTTTACAGCGTCTAGAGGAACTACGGTCGCCCTCCGGGTATTTACACCATCCCCATCGGCCAGCAGGGAACTGAAGGAAGCTGTATGGTTGGAGGCTTCACTTTCGCCGCTCAGACTCGCACTTTTATAGCCCCGGCTGGCTGAACAAGTACCCACATTAGGGAGGTGTTGGCACATTCTTTGAAAAACCTAAAGCAGCGTTTTCCATTTACACTGTTAGCATGACACTGAGGTGATAAGAAAGAGTCTTTATCAGATTGTGGCAAGAGCCTAAAAGACAGACATGAAAAACTCCAGAAATTCCTCTTCTACACCTGTCAAAAAGGTGGATCACATGGCTAGTGCCCAAAGGTGTCATAAATATGTGTCTTAGGCTTAAAAAGAAAGAAAGAAAGAAAGAAAGAAAGAAAGAAAAAAGAAAAGAAAAAGGAAAAAAGAAAAAAGAAAAAAAGAAAGAAAAGAGGGAATAAGTTTTGTTGCATCAAAACACTAGTACAGAAATATGATGCCGTCTCTAATCGCTGTCAGATTTTACAATCGATTGCCAGAAATGTCTTGAAGAAAAAGAAAGAGAAGAAAAGGTAGCTTGCATGCCATCAGAAATGACTGTTAATATCCTAAGGAAATGTTTCGTTACATATGTTGTTCTTGCCATGTAGCCTTGTCACGCAAGTGTGACCACTGTGTGAATAACTGTACATAAAACCACTTTAGAAAGCCTGAAGGCAATGGGTTCTTTTTCCATCAGCAGCTTTGGATCAGGCTCTATTTGAAAAGGTTGCTATGGCAAGTTATATGTCTTAAAGAAAGAGTAAAGCAACAGGACATAAGATGTGTTATCTGGAAAAAGAACCAGTACAGTATTATTCCTCAGGACAAGATGGAAGCAAGATGAATGTTTTCTCTGATTAGAAAGGTGTCATTTCCAAAGTCACAACAGAGTGGATACACTTGACAGTGTTTATACTTGACAAATAAAAATCCAATATATATCTGGGTGAGCCTTTGAGAAAAAGAAAAATCTATAAAAGCATGCTAATATGAGTTCTCTTAGAGTTTACTTGTCTTATTTCTGTCTGCAGGGAGTCAACACTGCAGAACCCAAAACTGCACAGAGGGACAGGAAGCTCTGAACCATCATACCAGAAGCTTGTTGTATCCATGCAGAAGAGAGGTCCTGCAATTCCTCCCTCGCCCATAGCAGCAATTATTAAGGTTCCCACCCTGTCAGAATCCATCTATGGCCTACCTCTTATTTAATATTACTGCAAAATTATGGAGCTTTTCTGTTAACCATCTGGGATTAGAGGCTTTCTGTTCAATGATGTTAGGTGAACAGATGCTATTTTATATTAACATAGAGCCAACCTAGATGTACTGTTATCTCACTGTGCTAGCTACTTGAGAAGCTGTTTCCTGTTGGATCCATACAGAAAGCAACTTCTCTCTCTTTCTCTCTCTCTTTTCTACACATATACAGCTCATAGTTTCTCTAATATAGCCTCTTCAGCTGAAGAACGAATTGTTTCTGAAAACTAATGGAAAAATAACACATCAAAACAGAATTAAAAAATGATATCAGAGAGCAAAAAGGTAGGAAAAGCAGATTCTGGGTTTTATCACATATGTGAGTTGTATGGTCCCCTTCATCTGGGCTCAAAGAACCCACTAGAGAAGATATTATCAGATTTTCCCTGTTGTTTCTCGTGGACTTTTGTCAATGTGGAAAGCTAAGCATGTTTGTAAATTCCTGTGATGACCCCTTCCCTTTTACTTCCAGCTATCCATAACACATACCAACAGCCTTTCAATCTGATGATAAAACACCATTTTGTAGCTTACTTGACTGAAGATAGCCTCCCATGTGAGTCCAGAAGCCTTGAACTTGCCGCTGGGGGACTGCTGCAATAGGCAACCTGCCACTTTAGCCTCTGAAAACACATACATTAATGTTACCTTTATGCATATAAGCAGTTGTATGTAAATCCAAAACATTGAAGATGCTCATATAAGTATGTGTAGAGGTCAGATCAAGATCTTAGAGTATTTACATTCATAATCAAGCAGACTATCTTAATTGAAACTGGGGACTCTGGAGACTGCTGTAATACAAATAATAAATAGGAAAAAAGAGGTACTTGCAATTAATTATTCTTTAATAGAGATAGACTATACAGTTAGCACAGATTAGGTAAGTACTTGAGCCTTTTATTCTAATAGATACATCATTCATTAAATCTACACATTCTACATCTACATCTATTCTAAATATTGACCTCAACTTATTGGATTTAGTGGTTAATGGACTGTACTCATTGGAAAGGTGCAGGGAGTGATTCAAATTCCTTTTTAGTTTCACTCCAGGAGAGATGTGTCATGCAAATTCCAGTATAGAACACAACTGAGCATAATTCAGCTCTAATCAATGTATTCTGCAATGGCTAGGAACACATTTAATTTGGTTCTAAATTTAAGAAAGCACCACGAAAGAAGGAGATCTCAAACAAATTACATCAAATAATTTGCAAGTACGGAAAAGAGTAACCCTTTCCCCGAGCCTGTCTTATGACAGGATGGAGGGAGGGAAATTAAATTATGTTAACCAATATAAGAGGAAACAGAATGACTCATAGAACTGATATTCAGAACAAAGCTTTTCACTTCTAGGTCACTAGCTAAAAAGTGACCAATAGCAAAATTGGGCAAGAATGGTTAATATCCATCAGACTTTTCAGTATGCTCTGTGAACTGCTTTGGTATTCATAGTTCCAAAAAAGCATACGGAAATATCTACTTATCACTGCAATAGCAGCAGGCATGTTATTGCTGTCAGGTTAGTTAATCCTGCTTGAGTGAAGCCACATTCTTTCAACCCATAAATACACAGCGACAACATCACAATTTTATTTTATTGCTTCTTTCTTTTCAGAGTCCTGCTTTACGATCATTGGAAGGATAGAGTCTTTGAGCAAGCAGAACATCCTTACCTGCTAAATACAGCTTTAATTGTTTATGTCACAGTAAAACAAATAAGCAAATAGATAATAGCAATGCAATAACTGATATGCAGTTAGTCTCTTCAGAAAAGATGCAAGGCCTGACTCATCAGTTTAATACAATTCTATTACAGTGTTCCTGTGGCAAAATTCCAATGGGCACATTTACTACCTGTGTATTATCTTTTTCATAAAGATGTTCCTAAAATCGAAAAAAGCCAAACTGAAAGTTCTGTAGCCCGGTACTTTGCAGGAAAAAGCATATGTACGTATCACAACTACCTGGAAAGGGAGAAAAGCAAAAGAAACATGAAGCTTAAAAAGAAAGCAGTTCTGCAGACTGAAATTACTTCAAAGGTACTTAAATATTATAATGAGGACTCTCATAGTTCAACAGATAGTTCTCTCAGCTGTACTAAAATTAAACACTATGCAAAAATGTTTCAGCTCGTGTTTCTATTAATACAAACTTGACGTATTTCTAGAGTCTACAATACTGACTTCAAAATAATTCAAGCAGAAAATATTTGATTTTGGAGAACGGAGCTAAGGTTTGAGGAAAGAGGTAAAAAAACCACAAGAATAACCTGCTTAATTATAGGCTTTTCTTAATGAAAAAGGAAGTGCATAGATATTGGAAGATGAAAGAAAATAGCAAAATACTCTCAGAATTCCAATCAGCTTCAGCTGAGGTACAATTATAAAAATAGATATGCAGGTGTATGTGTCAGTGTTTTGGTTTGGTTTGCACCCACGAGCTTTACGGCTATGATGCAGGTCTGAGATATTGGTGGAGGAATTCCGTGCCCTGAAATGAACAGAACGGGAACTTGAACCTCTCTCTTTATACACTTCTTAACACAGTGTCGTGTCCTGGCCAGACCAGTTCTTTTCTCAAACTAGTTCCACAGAAGTGTTGCTCCTCATTTAATGGAATATTCAGGACTTGAGCTGTAACTAGAATTTTTCATTTTACAGAGGTACCTTTCCACTGCATTCATTAGAAAAAATAAAACAGTTAATGGATTTCTATTAAATTTCATAGAGACAGTATAAGAGAATACATAGCTTCCCCTCATTTTCATCTGTTTTGTCTAATAGCATATTTCCTAAGCATATGATATATAGGTAGATTTTAATCTGACGGAAATAAAGATTAAAGTACTTTTTTCATGCTATTTTGCCACAGTGCCTCACAAATACAGTGGTCCATACTAGCAGTGCTATACTATACAAGCTTGTTATAAAACTTATCAAAGCTGCAGGCATGTGGATGAAATTCCCAGGAGTCTTTTACTGGCATTTTCAACAAATGTAACAATGTTTAGCACTCCCAGGGGCCAGCAAACATTAAATGGCATTTTTCAGAAACTGCTGTGGCAATTTATCTACCATTGC